TTAGAGAGATTTATGGTGAATTTCAACTGGATAATACTTTGTTTTTTAAGCTGGCAGGTGAATATATGGGTGTTCATTATATTAACCTCTTTTCATTATAAAAATCACTATACCATGTCTAATATGCACTTACTCTTTCTGTTAAAGATATTAAAATGATGGTGTGATATAATATGTAAATAAGGCACTGTGTGCATAATTGAAAAGTGATCCTGGTAGAAGCACCATGGGGAGAGTAGACGATCGATAGAAAAAAAAAAAAACAAACATATTTTCCTTGTTTTATAAAAGGAAACTACTTCTGATTATCTTAGTTGGTTGCAATATAATAAACATAATTATGAGTCCATTGATATAGTCCTAGTGCCAGGAGATAGGTTTATTTGCTCTAGTAAAGACATGATACCTAGGATCACTATTATGAGAGGTACCATCATATGATTAAATTTGTCATAGCCTACAGTTATTATCTGTAAATGATCTTGCTTTTTCACTAGCCCAATGGGCAAGTTAAATAGGAATGTAGTTATAATTACTACCTCTCAAATTTTTATGTCTTGATTATGACATGAATTTCTGCATTTCTCCAAGGCATGTGAACTTATTTATTTGTTTATTTTTTTTGGAGAGGTTTTTGCTATAGGGCACGTGTGCTCGCCAGAAAGACAGAGACAGAGAGATAGAAAGCGAGAAATCACACCCCACCCCCCCGGGCGGGGGGATAGCCATGCCACAATCCCTTCTCCTCCATTCTTCTCTCAAGACCCTGGGAACGCATGCACACTCGCCTGGTGTGATTTTAAGCCACTGGGTCCGGGACTCGAACCACAGTCAAGTACTTGGGAGCTCAGCGACATAGCCATTACGGTAACTGCTGGTCCCTGTTGGGTTCTATTTCTAGAGACATAGTCATCCCTTCAGTTGAATAGGCCGAGTCTATGAATCGATTTAGATTCAGGAACTTAAGAGCTTGTGAATCATCACTGTGGCAACATTTTTCACATTTCTGGCAGCAGGCTTAGATGTGTGTGTGTGTGTGTGTGTGTGTGTGTGTGTGTCTGTACTTTTAAAATATGTAATATTTTTTTAATCTGCTCATATGACTGTAGACTCTAAAGAACGAAACCTCCTCAACATAAAGATTTGGCTCTTTTGTGAAAAATTTCGAAGATTACTTTCTTCAAAAGATCACAAAGCCATATTTTTTATCACATTTTTATTTACTACATATACTGCAAACATATAAAAAATACATGGTACAAAAATACTTTTAAAAATTTAACTTTCAAGAAAGTGTATAGTGTTATAATACAATGACATGTGTTCAAACTGGTTTGCTTAATAAACCATTAATAGTGAAATGTTACTTGTGGATAATTAAAAATCATCTATTTGCAGTATTAAAAATAAACAATTCCAAAAAATTTGTAAGAATTAACCATGTCAAGCATTAGTATCCAAAATAGGGATTTTGAAGAGATTATTATATAAAATATAGCAACTGATGGTCTATTTTAACTAAACTATGGTTTATTTTGGTCTGTGATAATGTACATATGCACTTGAATAGGATTCTTCTTCTGAAGATACTCTTAAGAAGTCCTTTGACTTCCGAAGGCCTAATAACTGCCCCACACAGCCACATCCAACCTACCAGTTCATTTAGTGGCTCTAGACGACCAGTCATTGAGAAATCCTTATCATTTGGCTAGACTTATATGTCCCACTAATATTACAATGGAAAGAGTCATTGTAAGCGAAATCAAAGTCAAAGACAAAACAAAATACAAACAGGCCATCAGGTGGCATGGTGGTTAGGTGCTGGACTCCCACATGGTCAACTGCAGTTCAAGTCCTGGATCTGGTGGCTTTCTTTCTCATTTTCCTTCTTTCTCTCTCTTTCTCTCTCTCTCTCTCTGTCTCTCTCTGGTGAGTATGCATGCCCTATAGCAAATAAAAATAATAATAAGGATAAATAACATTAAATAATTAATTCTTTTTAAAAAATATATTCAAATCAGTTGTGACATGGTTTTTCTATAAATATTTTAGGTGCTCTACTTTTAGGAAAACAAAATTCAGTGTGTGTTTGGATTTTACAATATCTATGCTATAACTGAAATTTTAACAAACAAGTCTGATGAGATTACATCTAGTATTGCCAATATGCTATGGAACACCCACTGTGTGCAGAGCACTGTGCTAACTTTTTAAAATGGTTTTTGCCATAGGGTGCATGCACTCACCGGAGAGATACAGAGAGAGGGAAAGCAAGACATTAGCCCCCAGGGGAGATGGCCATACTACAATCCCCTCTCCTCCCTTCTCCTCCCAGGACTCTAGGTAAACATGCACACATTCCTGGTGTGATTTTCTTCCTTTCTTTTCTTTTCTTTTTTGCTATAAGGTGTGTGCACTCACCAGAGAGACAGAGAGAGACAGAGAGACAGAAAGCAAGAAATTACCTCCCAAGGGGGATAGAGATGGCCACACTGCCACCCTTTCTCCTTCATTCTCCTCTTGGAATCTTGGGCATGCATGCACATGCCCCCAGTGTGAGTTTTAAGCTGCTGGGTCCGGGACTTGAACCACGATCTACTACATGGGAGTCCAGTGACATAACCATTCCTCTATCTGCTGGTCCCAAAGAATTATTTATTTAATTTAATTTATTACTATTGTTTAATTTGTTACAGGGCATGTGTATTCACTGCAGAGAGAGAGAGATAAAGTGAGGAAGCAAGCTGCCGGATCTGGGACTCAAACCTCAGTTGGCCATGTGGGAGCCCAGTGCCCCAACCACCATGCCACCTGCTGCCACCTCAGTGTGATTTTTCAAGCTGCTGGATCTCTGACTCACACCACTGTCGGCCATATGGAAGTCCAGAGCCTTAACCACCACATCACCTGCTGGCCCACTATGCTAACATTTTAAAAAGTTGAATATTAATGTCTTTATCAAGCATTATCTTAGTGTGATATAAAAATATATTAAGTTAGCGTCAAATCATTAGTTTGCTGTGGTAATGTACGTAATTCTGTACCATTGCTTCCTTGTGCCAAGTAATATGTTTCTACACTCCCTCACTCACCCACATAGACACAGCACACGGACTGTGTGCTAGGCAATGTGCTAATCACTGGGACAGCATGACTTGGTACATGTTCTAAGAATGTGGACTTATGTTAACCTATGCAGGACAATTAGAAAGATATCTTCTTTTTCTAAAATGAAGTCCAAAGCAAAGTGTAAGGTATTTCTGTTGGCCATATTACACCACAGACCAGTTAGTGCCTTTGTAGACTGGAGACTAACTTGGAAAGCTTCATGTTGTAATCTAAATCGTCTAGATAAGTTTTGATCTTTTAAGTGTATTCTTTGGAGCACCTGACCCCATATAAACCATTCCGTACTTAAAAGGGTTTGTAAACTAAACCTGGCAGAAATGTAAAGAGCCCCAAATATTGGCAGTAATGTAGTGCACTTAAAGCCCCATTCTGGTCTTGTGAATGAGTAATACCTAAGTAATTCATAATTGGGTCAAAGATTCTTTTCCCCCCAACCCCAACTCATGTAATACAAGTTGTACATAATACAGAGGGCAGAATTTGGTCTTCCATGAAATATCGTGATTGGTCCTTTCTCTCCAAGTAGAACCTAAGAATTCTAAGAGTTTCCTAGTAGGGTCCTGGAGAAATGGCTAGCCGCAGCGGCAGTGTGAACCTACTATGACCCCAGTGGGGACTGCGGAGAGCTGGGGGTCTGGCTGTCCGCTTCATGAATTCAATACTGGCGTAAAACTATGCACTGAGCAAAGTGCTCTGCATATCTTGCTTCTCATATGGAATAAAAATATACACTTAAGAATGAACTATGTTTAGGGGAAAAATGATGAAGGTTGAAAGGACCCCAAGGAAAAGTACGATGACTTGACTAGGAAGGAAAGCAAATGCCTCTAGTAGTGTTCTCAGAATTCTTAGGATTTGAAATGTCAGAACGAGTCATACATTGGTCTGCTCTATAAATGAAAAAGCCATCCTACTGGGTACTACTCACATGGCGCATGATTACTTACAGGGTGGAAGGGAATAGTTTATTGCCATTTGATAGAAAGAAAACAAACCCATTGAATAAATCAAAGTAAGCAGTGTGTAACACTCCTCTCCTGACCATTGGTTTCCCACAGGTTGATGTGCATTGCCTGAGAGAAAGCAGGCAAGATATCTGTCCTTTCTGATGTAGACAGGCATGGCTACTACCACCTAAAATTGCCAATTCGCAAATTAACTTATAAGCCCATAGAAACATGCATGTATTTTAAATTGTCATTGAGATTAGGAAACCCAATTCCATTGCAGAATCTCCTCACAACATTTTTAGACTATACTTGTCCATACAGACAAAGCTATTCAGGTACATGCTAACCATGGTTTTTATTTTTAGAGAGATTTTTTGCTATACAGCAGATGATTCACTGAAGAGACAGAAAGCAAGAAATCTCCCCCTAGGGGAGATGGCCACGCCACAGTCCCTTCTCCTCCATTCTCCTCTCAGTATCTTGGGCATGCACACACATGTACCTAGCGGTAGTTTAAGTCACCAGGTTTGGGTCTCAAACTGTGGTTGACTACATGAGAGTTCAGCGAGATAACCATTACGCCATCTACTGGTCTCCAACAAAGCTTTTTTTTTTTTTTTGGAGAGGTTTTTGCTGTTGGGCGCGTGCGCTCGCCAGACAGAGAGAGACAGAAAGACAGAAAGCGAGAAATCACCCCCCCCCAGGGGGTATGGTCACGCCGCAATCCCTTCTCCTTCATTCTCCTCTCGGGATCTTGGGCACGCGCGCACATGTGCCCGGCATGAGTTTTAAGCCACCGGGTCTGGGATGCGAACTGCGGTCAACTACGTGGGAGTCCAGCAACATAGCCATTACGCTAACTGCTGGTTCCCCAAAGCATTTTTTTAATGCCTTAGAGAAAGAAAAGATTTCAGAGCCCTCTGTTTTAAAAATTTTAAATACATTTATTCATAAAAATTACACAAAAGCTTTAAACATATGTTACTAATTATGTTAACAAAGATTATCATATTCATCATTACATTTTTGCCTATCAGGTATGAATATTGGATTTACTGTTTTCATGATCTAGTTTTCTAACTTAGATATTATCACATTTAATTAGTGTTTTTAAGATGTATTCAAAACTTCTGTGATCATTTAAAAGAACAGAATGAAATTTTGTAATGATTTATTTTAGTGTAGTCATTTTCCTCATGAGAAGAAAAATCACTATTAAAGGATGGTCTATTTTATTTCTGTAAGGCATTTGCAGGTCGCCGGGCAGTTGTCTTCCATGAACCTTGAGCCACACTTATAGTTTTGCGTCAGCTGCTGACAGTTCGAGAACCTATCCTGATACATGCAGGGGTTGGCTAAAAGGAAACAAAAGGGAAATAAATGCTGCTTTTGTACCATTTACTTTTTGATGTTCTTTTATTTTTCCCAAAGGTCACTACATAACCATGAGGGTGTACTCTTAAACCGTTTAATAGACATACCTGCAGGAGCAGCTAGTGAATTCTGACAACACAGAGCTTTTATGACATCAAATAAATTTCCCTATTCTGTTCCAAAAACGTGTATCATAACAGAAATTATCTTAACCCCATATATTTGAGGTGCTTTGTGCTTAATCCACGGTGTATATTTATGTGTGTGATGAGTGCAAGGGTACAACAGGGAATGTGACTGCTGCGCACACCCCTTACCCCTTTCAACAAAATGCGAACTCTGGCATATATATATATATATATATATATATATCCAATATGAGCAGTGATTCTAGTGTGTGCATTTATATGTGTATGTAGTGCCTGAGGATTTATTTTATTTATTTATTTTCCAGAGATTTTTTGCTATGGGGAACGTATACTTGCTGGAGAGACAGAAAGCGAGAAATCACCCTTGGGGGGGGATAACGATGCCACAATCCCTTCTCCACCATTTTCCTCTCAAGATTTCAGGCACGCATGCACATGTGTCCAGCATGAGTTTCAAGCTGCTGGGTCCAGGGCACCAACCATGGTTAACCACATGGCAGTCTGGCACCTTAACTACTATGCCACCTGATGGCCCCATGTCTGGGGATTAATAGACTTGCTAGAATCTTTAACATATGTACTTAAAGTAGCCCAAAGTTATCATCCCCTCCCTCACTCCATGCTTGTTTGACAAATGTGTGTGCATCCGTGTGTGTGTGTTGTGTAAGTGTTAAGGAATGGCTGCACTAGGAGAATAGTACTGTTTTTCTTACATATATTCCCTAACTTTTATTTAGGGGCAGAAATATATTGAGTCTGAACCTATCTAAGGTTAGGTAGTCCATAAGTTCTCATAAATTTGCTTTTCCCCTCCCTAAGGGGGGAAAATACCAATTAGAGAGGGACCATAGGTGGTTCAGGGGAATCTTCATCACCACTTTGGCTTGCCTGAACTTTGGTTTGCCTGATTACTTCTATGTCTATCTTAATTTAGTTCTCACGACCCTCAAACAGCAGCTGAATTTACTGCTTCATTTTTAGCTCCCCATACCCCACTAAAAGCAGAAATACTGAGGCAGAAAAGTAAAGCCCCCAAATAGCATGGGGACATACATATATCAGAGTAGAGGCTGAACCTGCCTCCCACAGTAAGGTCAGCGCTACATATGGTAGGCGCCGTCACTTAGAGCTGTAAAATGGATAGTACTTACTGCAAAGCCCATTATCACAATGACCAGGGCAGTCTGCACATGGTTTTCCTTTTTTATATGGAGTATTCCTGGTTTTTATGTTGTTTCCCCTGCCAATAGAATATGTGAAAGAAAGGATTAGTGACAAGAGTGACAGGAGCTCAGAAAAGGGAGAGAAAGATTTCTAAAATTTCTGAGTAACTGGTGGACATCAAATCTCGAGCCTGACGAGCTACAGAGCCCATGTTCCATCCCTCAGGCTCCTACACACAGGCGCCCCATATTCCCTTCAGAACACACTGCTTCATGTCTCCTGTCTTTCCCATTCTTCAAAACACACCCACAAAGCCCCTTATGAAACTACCTTATAACCCTATAACCATAGGTTGGTCAAAAGGACTGAATGATAGCCTGAAGTGCAGGCCACCTGGTCAACAACAGGCCGAAGTCGATCTCCAGGGCTGTACTTACGCAGGGCAATACTGACAGACGTAGTAAAACTTCAAGCGCTTATTAGGACAATGGGCTAATGCACAGCCAAGCTGGTGGGAAGTGGCCCAAACAAGCTGTAAATTAAAAGTGTAAAAAAGTCATTTAAATTACATGTACAATGTTTACCTCGTGTGGCTTCTTTTCTTTTCTTTTCCGATTTTTTGTTTACTTATTCATGATAAAGTAAGAGAAAAAGAGAAGCGCCTCTGTCAGCTTGTGTCACACCTTACCCCAGCCCTCCACCTTGTCAGGATCTGGGGCATGTACGTAGCATGTTTTTAGGCAATGTGGCTTTTTGCACTGTAGTTTAGTTTGCTACCAACCCCACCCCCAGACTGGACTGCTTTTTGTTTCTTCTTTTAAAAAGTTTATTTATTTACTTATTCCATTAGAAAAAAGACATATAGAAAGAGACAGAAAGAATTTCCAACAAGGTCCTGACACTGCAGTCCACCCCCAAGCTCAGCGTGCCCTAGATCCTGGGCACATGTGTGACTGGCATGTACTGGGAGGTCACTGACCGTGAGCCTGGAACCTCCCCGTGTGGGTCAGCCTCACTGAGTGTCACATTTTACTTCATCACCACCATCTGGCTTTCCACTTTTTCTTAATTGCCTATTAGAAGTTCAAATGGGGTGACTGGAACCCACCTGACTGACCCAGAGACTTGAGAAAGGTGCCAGGCATGTGTGTGCACGAGCTCAAAATCCCAAAAGGAGGGTACGATGGAGGAGAAGGGATTGCAGTGCGATTATCCTACGCAGAGGTCATTTTCTCCTTGTCCCTCTCTCTGTCACTGTCTCTCTCTGTCTTTCTCCTGTGAGTGCATTCAACCTCTGATAAGATTTAAAAAATAAACCAATGAAGGGAATTTAAAAAGTTGAAAATGATGGCTTTAGATTCTTAACATTTCCATCCAAACTTGGTTATTCTTTTTAAATATCCTTCCAGTTATGAGGATTAATTTAAAATCATAGGAAGCCCTAAACTTTCATGATTTTTTTTAAAAGATTTTGCAATAGGGTGCATGCACTCCCCAGAGAGACAGAGAAAGACAGAGAGACAGAAAGTGAGAACCCCCCCCCCCCCGGGGAGATGGCTATGCTGCAATCCTCCTCCATTCTCCTCTCAGGATTTTGGGCATGCACACACATGCACCCAGAGGAAGTTTTAAGCCATGAGGTCTGGGACTCAAACCATGGTCTACTATGTGGGAATCCAGTGACATAACCATTATACCATATGCTAGTCCCATTCATGATTATTTTTATAACAATGAATTATCTCCAAAACACATAAAAGACAATGAGGTATCAGGCAAGGAGAAAAAAGGAGGTTAAAGGCAATTTTATTTTTGTGGGAAAAAGACTAAATCTGTAAACCTTATGTTTTTGTGTAGATAATCTCAGTTTTCCCAATATGGCTTTCCTTTAGTTTTTATATGACAAATACAAACACTTATATATTCAACAATATCAAAAAATCATTTGCCTGTATGACTACATATGCAAATGATATTTCTCTGATAATTTCTGTTTAGCATTTTATCCCGTGACCCAGAGAAAATTGTTCAAGAGTTTCCTTTGCTTCAAGCTCATTTAATGTGGGTTAAATATAATTGAGGTCTTCCTATCGCTTTATTCCCAGAGCTGTCATTTACCACTCAGTTAAGGGGTGATGAAAATGTTCTGGAAATACACAGCAGCCAATGACTATGTAACATTCTGAATGTACTAAAAGTCATGTGACTATACAATTTACAGTGGTTAAAGTGGTGAGCTTGATGTTATATGAATTTTCTCTCAATAAAAGATATATGCAAAAAGCCTTCACTGTGGCAAATGAAAATCACAATGAATGTTCAAGGAATGATGGGCTATGCTTTTATCTCTAATGTGTAAGAGATGATTTGCAAAGTAGGATAACTTCCATGTGCCCAACTCAAATCCCATTGCTCATATATGTGCTTGATATCTTCAGGATAAACTGAGGAGAAAAGGTAATTCTGGGATGAGAGAGTACAAACGATCATTAAAGTTTAGTCGTTTCACTTTTACCTGGGTGTAATGGCCAGTTTTAACATTTGGTCGAGTATCTCCAGATCCATACCTAAAGTCTGTAACTTCATTATATAAAGATTGGATTGCATATGACCAGTTTCTGGGATTACTGGACATAAATAAATTCTCCCCACAGTCAGCAACTAAAAATGAGAAAAGACAGTGAACCAAGAGACAAACCAGTATTTCTGAAGACTTCTCACTAAAAACTATGAAAATATTTCAGTGTCTGTGACCACTGTCACCTCCCAACGATACATAGTCACCTTCAACTGACTGATCTTTAGAATAAATCTCATTTCATTTTCAAAAGTACTGCTCTATGAATTGGAATTACTTGAGGCCCCTAACTACCCATGAAAATCTCTTTCCAGAATGTAAATAACAATTTCATATTCAAATTGTTGATGTAGCTCAACATAATCAAAATAATCATTTTGGTAATGTTGATAAACTTACTGACATTCAATCAATGAATAAGTATACCTCCGATAGCAACTATGCCTCCTCTGCCTTCACGGTATGCATGTAAGGGATTATTTTTAAAATTAAGGAAATGACTTTTGGACTTTGAATCTTAAACTGGGGAATTAAGAGGAACACATGTTTGATCAGCGGGTGGCTTGGTGGTTAAAGGAGTTGGATCCCACATGGCTGATCTCAGGGTTTGAGTCCCGGACCCTACAGTTTAAGAAACACTGAACACATGTGTGCATGTGCTCAAAATCCTGAAAGGAAGAAGAAACAAAGGAATTGCAGCATGATCATGCCCCATGGATAGGTGATTTCTTCCTCTTCCTTCCTCCCTGTCTTCCTGGAGAGTCCCCATGCTTTCTGGCAAAAATTAAAAAAAAAAAAAAAAGTGAAACAGATGGCAAAGAGCTCATACATAAGATGGACTATCTTTTGGGAAAAAGATAAACTAGAAGTAATGGACATAGGAGTGATAATGGAATGTCCGTGATTATAAGCAATTTGACCATATTTTAGTAAAAAGTGCAAGGCAGGTTGGAGTAGGGTGGACAGATAGAATGGGGCAGACTGAGGGCCTTAGAAGGCAGGTAGAGATTTAATTCACTGTTAACATGATTTACATTGCACTTCAGAAATGATTCTAAAATATATAAAATAATCTTCACTGGGAGCTCACGGTCTGGTAGGCTTCGCCTCGATATGTTAAATGGGAGCTTTTAGTAGACTTTTGAGACTAAACGTTGGCATATGACTAATATAAATGCTGCGTATCTAAATGGACCTAAGTTCAGTGAATATATAAAATGCTTTTGTGCTGTTGTTTTCCTCCATCATAATCTTTGCCTTTGACTATTAACTCAGACTCAGAGCTGGACTAAAGTCCCAGGATAAATGAGATTTGGGGATAAGAATTTTAAAAAAGAAAAGGAAGGAAAACAGCAAAGGAAACAAGGCACGGATATGCAGGGACAGGTGATAAGAATTAAAGCCAAAAAGCAAATCAAACCATTCCCAAACTTCTGCAAAGCTCTACTTCAGTGGTTTTTTTTTTTTTTTGTAGAGATTTTCACTGTAGGGCGCGTGCGCTCGCCAGACAGACAGAGAGAGACATAGAGACAGAGCGAGAAATCACCCCCCAGGGGGGAATGGCCACGCCACAATCCTCTCTCCTCCATTCTCCTCTCGGGATCTTGGGCACGCATGCACACGCGCCCGGCGTGAGTTTTAAGTCACCGGGTCCGGGACACGAACCGCGGTCGACTACGTGGGAGTCCAGAAACATAGCCGTTACACTAACTACTGGTTCCCTACTTCAGTGGTTTTTAAGTTTGACCAAGTTCAACTTACACCTGATTTGTCGTTCATGTGGAGGACTGTGAGACATGGTACACTTCTTTGCCCACTTCTCAGCATTCTGTGCGACTTGGTCATTCCATGTCTTGAAATAAATGAGAAGCATGGGAATTAAAACATAAAGGAGGGAATGGTGACGTATATGGTTACATTTAAAGCAAATTTCTATTTGGTGACTCTGTTTCCAGCATTTCTCATTTTTTCATGATGGTACCAGGGGTTGCATTTCTTGCATTCCTAAATGATTTACTTATCAGAAAGCATCTCTCTATTGGAGAGGGGTGTAGAGAATCAATTACTTGAGAGCAAAAAAAAAAAAAAAAATGCCCGCCAGCTTTCCAGCAGCAAAATAAACATTTAAGATTTCAAAACAAAAGAATGTTTTTTTTTTAATGGCATACTCATATATCATAATTTTTTTTTTAACTGCTAGCCTGGGAGTATGGTTTAATTAGAACCAAGACCTATGTCTTTGGTATTTTTAGAAGGCGTGGTTCACACAATCATGCTTTACTAAGCAGTAGTAAATTTGTGTTATACTAAATGACATGAAGGTCAAAATGTGGAGAAACAAATAAATGACCACCCTGTCCGTATACTACAATAAGAAAAAAACTAAGAAAATCAATATAAATGGAGATGTTAGTATTATAATTGAGACAAATTAAGTCAAGATACCTGGAGAGTACTTACAAGAAAAAAAAAATATGTGCCAATATAAGATAAGAGATGTTTAAAATAGAGGAGACTATGTCTTCCACAAGGCAACTTCAGTTACTTACTATGATCCTGAAGCATTTTTTCTGAACATCTGTCACAGCACACAGCTTCAGAAATTAAGCTAAACATAAGGCTCAGTAGAAAAATTCATTCTTATAGACTATATTAAGCACCAACTTTTACAAAGATGAAGCGAATGATAAAAATTACTACTTCTAATTTATTATAGAAATCCCCTCTAAATAGTTTTTTCCCCCATACTGAGCTATGGTATACTTCCAAATGTCTTTGATCTGTTAATTCTTGTTTAGCCCTATGAGAAAATTCAGAACAAATCCAATGCATTTTTTTATAACACTTTATTTGAATTGGTAAGAAAATAGAAACTAATCTGTTGAAATGTCAGATGTGCCTGGCATTTTATTTACACTAATATTATTTCTTATCAATCTTCACAAAAATTCAGTAAAATTTGAATAATTTCCACTAGCAGAAGAAAGCTGTGGCTCTTCCAGATTAAGTGACTAGTATAAAGTCAACTACATCTTCTCAATATCTTTCCTTAGTCTAAATATCTCCTCCTTCATTGTGGTTTGGTTTTCTGGCTCCCTACCATACTAATCAACATTTCATATATGTGCTTTCCATTAATGTGGTATTCAAAGATATATACATTATATAACAAACATGTTGTCTGACCATAGCAGAAAAGAGTAGGACTCATTTTACAAACCAATCACTATATTTTAAATGAAGATTCTGTTTGTAGCTGGGCATCTAATTACTCAAGTTATGTAATCTACAGATAGATTCTTACATATCATCTGTGTTTTAATTATATCTCTAGCTTACATTGACAGAGTCAACATTTTCTTTTTTCTTTTTTTTTTTGAGAGATTTTTCTTATAGGCTGTGAGCACTTGCTGGAGAGAGAGAAAAAGAAAGAAAGCAAGAAATCACCCTCCCCCCCACCCCAAAGAAATGGCTAAGCCACAATCCCTTCTCTTCTATTCTCCTCTCAGGATTTTGGGCACATACACACACACACACACACACACACACACACACAAACTTGCCTAGTGTGAGTTTCAAGTCACTGGGTCTGTGACTCCAACCGCAGTTGACCGTGTGGAGTCCAGTGCCTTAACTGCTATGGCACCTACTGCCCCCAATTTTTAAAATTTAAATACAATATGTTATATTTATCTACCAGCCTGGACACTAAGATATCAGTTTTTAGTGGAATAAATAGATTAGAATATTTTGATTATATAGATCCTGGTAAGATATCCACAGCTAAATGTTTTAATGTTAATTGACAATGTTCCATTGACAAGACATGACTTACCAGTTTAAGCATGTTGGAAGCACTGGGCTGTGTTAATCTTCTAAGCTGATTGTGCTTATTAGTAATGTCCATTTGGACTGATCGGTCATGGGTCATTAGAGAAAAATATGAGACATCTCCCTATAAAAGGAAGCAAAGGTTAGTAAAGACAATGTCACAACTTTGAAAATCAAAGTAACAGTACTATAAGTCATATATTTCAATATGGAAATTTGTAAAATGTTTAATTTTATGTTCTCAAGCTTTAGCTAGCATCAGACTCTCCTTAAGGACATTAACATACAGATTGCTGTGCTCTATCCTCAGAATTTCTGACCCAGGGAACTTGAGTAGGGCCAGACAATTTGGATTTCTATTTGAGAAATACAGGTCTAATTCAGAATTGACTTGGGAGTTGTGCTTGTCCTTTTGAATATCATTTTTTTTCTTTAGCAATAAACAAAACAATTTTAATCCATATGACTTCTCTACACATGATCCTATCTCATAACGTGCAAAAATAAAAAAAAATTCTCATCAGTAAATAATTAGCACCAGAAGATTTTAAAAGAATAAGAAAAAGAATTCTGCAAAACCAGAATGTAACACATGGTAACTAGCAAGAAATATATACTCAAAATGTAGAGAATTTTTCTTTTTTTTTTTTTTAATAGTGAAACATATAAAATGTGTTGAACTAAACTTTGAAGCCAAAAGTATAGTTTTGCTTTGAGCTAGTGGCTGTTGAAGACTTGGTAATATCAGATATATATTTCTATAGATCTGCAAACTTAATCTTCAAGCACATGTTAAGTCTTTCAACTGAAAAACTTACTTATAATAAATTGAATTCTATATTGTAATTAGCTAGTTAATTTTATACTTCTGATCAATTCTGTACTCTATCTGGTGCTTGTATTGCTGACCCATTGTCTTGATGCTTGTCTGGTAGTATTAATAGACTTACACCAAATTCTTACTACCTTTTGTCTGATTTTCTTGTCATTAAAGGTGTACATTCATTAGAAGATGAGTTAGAAGGTGCATTATGTAACTAGCGAATATTTCCTTCCATTCTTCATCATAGGAAATTAGCTACCATCAACGTTGTCTAAAAATCATTCACTATGAGCTATGGTTGAGACAGCCTTATTAGCAGGGTTTGAAATCTATCTTATAAGCCAGATTCATACCGTGCTTGCAGTTTGCTGCAGTAGTACCATCAAGCATATGCTCACCAACATCATTGTCTCTAAGAAGAAATAAAGCATTTATGAGATCTATGAGTTCATAAATACAGCTAACTTTATGAAGAAGAAAGGTTATGCTTTAAGGATTATGCTTTTTTATAGTTTGAAAACTTAATTTTTCCCTATTTTTTATTGACAGAGGTTATGTGGACTTGTGCATGTGTGCACATGCATGAGAGAGAGAGAGAGAGAGAGAGAGAGTGCACCCCTCCAAAGAGTTGCAGTAACATTACAATCGTTTTCCCTCCATTCTCAATCCCATTAGAATTTGGGGCATGTGCATGTGCTCAGTATGTTTTTTAAACTGTGTGGAACTTGAAAGGAGGCTAGTCGTATGGGATGTGGCTCCAATACGCAGGGTTTAATCTCTGCACTATGAAGCTACTCCTAAAAGCTTTTCTTTTTAAATGTATATATTTTTTCCATGAGCAAGAGAGAGAGAGATCACCTGCAACAGGGTCTTGACACCGTGATCCACTCACCCCCATCTTCAGCCAGTCCAGATGATGGGCCCATGCATGCCTGGTGTACTAAGGGAGGTCTCCAGATGCTAACCTGGAACTGCCTATGTGGGTCAGCCTTGAAGAGCATCACATTTTACTGCTGCTCCTGGCCTCTGAAAACTTTTCTGATTTTCCCAACTGGGTGAAGAGATGGAGGAGAAGGGATCGAGGCTTAACCATATCCTACTAGGCGGTACTTTCTCTCTCCCTTTCTCTCTCTCTCTGGAGAGCACATACTCCCTCTAAAATAAACAAATAACAAAAATAAACAGATTTCCTTGGTAAGATGGATAGTTATCATTAATAAAATTCAGTCTTTTCTTTTACCTCCAAATGTAGGGCTTATTCCTAGGTTATCAATTCCTAGGTTAAAACCCGGGAATATAGTAGCAATTTTTATTAATACTTTTGGAAGGACAAGAAATTGAGAGCCATCAATAGATAATAGTAAAACCCTGATATATGCCAATCCATATTGTCAATGAGTATTTCCAATTGCTAGATGATGTAATTGGTTTTAGTTTAAAAATCTCATTTTAAAAATTTTTACCTTTTGTCATGATAATTTTCAATAAATCACTCATAAAAACAAGGCAGACTTGCAAAGGTATACACAATGTGATGAGTGGATGCCTCTGAAAAGAGTGATGTAATTATGGTTTCATTATACTTCTACATTCAGTTTATATAATTTTCTATTATGTTATTATTGTTGAAAAATTGCCAAATACTACTCTTAAAACACTTCCTCTTTTTATTTTAAGGTTAACTTCTTGAAAGACCTTTTTTTCTACTAGGTGTCAGACAAATTCTTCTTTATGGCCATGAACTGTCCTGCGTGGACACCAATTTATTTATAATCCCATTAAAGACTGATAATAGAGAGGGTCAGTGTAGATACCAGAGACTTTCAGGAAGGGGAGTGGGAGGTAGAGAATGTGTGGTCAAGGGTGGGTGGGAAGAGCAAAGGAAAGAAACATTTAACAGACAAAAGAATGCAAAATTCTCTGTTAAAAAAGTTCTGTAATGTTTGCTTTATAAAAATTGAAAAAAGGGAAAAAGGAACAAAACATAGTTATGCCAAATATAAACACAATATTCCATACATGATCCATCCTTTGGTTTATTAGTATTTTAGACCAAAACAATGCTAAACATTTTTTTAAAGTACATCCTAATAATGAATGCACTCTTATCTACTAGTGGCAGAGTTTGACATAAAAATAAAGGCTATAAGATCTTTTCTCACACTATGGATAGCTCTTATTTTCAATTAATGCAGCAAACGTTTTACCTGAAATAGGCAGATGAGGATAAGATGTCCCTTTGCCCAAAGGAAGATGAATGTAGTTTGGTCTTTCACAAAGCAGTATTTATATAAATGAAACAGAAATCACTTCCTTTTCCTGTTTGGTTACTGTGATTGTGCAAGGTTGTAGTAATGTGTTGTGAAAATCCCTGGAAAAAAAAAAAGCTCATTATGTGCTGCAGAATTACTTAATTCTAGAGAAGAATTTGATTAATGATGGCGGTTCTCTAATAATTACTAACAATCTTGGTAATGATGGGTTGGAGAAGGCTTAACCTTTATTTCAATAGTCTGAGGGTGTAATACTATCTAACTAGGTGGAGATTATGTATTTTTTCCCTCAGTAGTATGTCATGGCATTACTCACTAGTTAGCTTTCAGTAAATTACCTTTATGTAGTCTAATAATTCTATAATACATATTATAAAATACCACAGTATGCTTCATTATTCAAATTAATCATAGGATCTAATATGACATTTAATGGACATAGAAAACTTATTTTTTACCTTATTTTCATTATTTCATTGTATTCAAGTAAGATGTTCAAGAGGTTTTCCATCAGTATAATATAACTTACTGAAAGAACATGTCACCCAAATACATTAAAAGGGAGAAAATGAGCTTTAATATGTAATAGATGTCTTCTTAAAACTTAATTTTTCAGGATTTCATTAAAATAATTTTTCTCCAAGGTTGCACTAATATTGATAAAAGATTGGAAAGGAATCCACAAAGAGGGCGGGATCTGGTCCCAGTTCCCGTGTGCTTATCCCAGTTGCACCACCCACTAAGTGAAAAAACTTGGCAAACATTTACCCTCTCATGCCTCAGCTTGCTTATCTGTAAAATTGGATGACATTAATAACCATGAGGTACTAGGGTTGTTAAATAAGTCCATTCATTTAGAACAGTCAGCGTCTGCAATATTGTAGGTTATTATAGTAAAAGTTGTCAGACCCAAACGAAATAACTTGCATCAACTTGTGTCAACTACATGGAGTCCGGGAAGCCTATGAAAAGGGGGTATGGGCATTAGATGCCTGAAAACAAGAACTATACCAAGGACTTTGCCAGAACCATTATCTTGCACCAAGGTCACTGCAATCTTTCACACACACACAAATATATCTGTGTGGACATCTGTTTAGAAACTGCGTCTTCAAACTTGGACTGATATTACCCTTATTATTGCTCCTGATAGCCAAAGATAATTATCCCCAAGCAACGTATGCAATCTCTTCTCATTTAAAAAAAAAAAAACGCTTGTCTTCTCTTATGTTTCTTAATATTTCCATACTTTAAGATGACAAGCATATTCTGCACTACAATATCCATTCCCAGATAAATACCACTTTTCTTTTAGAAAGTCTCTTTTTCTCTGTCTGTTATTTAAGTTAGACATTTCATTAAACTTCATTAATCTTAATTTGTTAAATTGTTGCTAACAAAACTAGATGCTATGTGATATATAAAGAAGTAATGTGAGCTGGTGCATCTATAAAATTATAACTTATTAAGAAGGCAAATTATATACTTAACTTATATATCATGACGATTTGAAGTAAATAATTTCAAAAATAAATAAAATTTAATTAGCTGGTAATGTAGGATTTATTTGTATTTGTCCCACAGAAAGACTATTAAGAGTTATAGTCGCTTATTTTGCTTAATGTAGCTATTAGCAATTCAGTCTTTCCAAGTTAAAGCACCCAATCTACAGCCCTTAAGTAAAGAATTCTTTATTTTTTAGTTCCCCCCCCCATAGGGCACGTGTACTCACTGGAGAGAGACAGAGAGAGAGAAAGTGAGAAATCACCACCCCTCCCCGCCCCCAGGAAAGACAGCCACACTGCAATCCCTTCTCCTCTGTTTGCTTGGCATTTGGGCTATGTATGCATGCATGCGCTCCTGGCATGATTTTCAAGTCACCAGGTCTGGACCTCAAACCATGGTCGGCCATGAGAAAGTCCAGTGACTTAACAACCATACCACCTGCTGGCCCCATTTAGGAATTCTTATAACCTGAGACATTGACTTTAAGTAAAAAATATTTTTGTATTTATTTAGCAAAAATGAAGTCTAGGCACACATCGATAACGCTGCAAATCTTTTCAAATCCTTGTATTCATTTGTATGAATCTATCTTCCATTACATATTTTTCTTAGTAAAAATAGTTTATTTTAAAATCAAATTAAATATTCACAAGTACAGAAAATTCATAAAGAAAAAAATTAATTGCATCTATAATCTCACCATCCATAGTCTTTGCATTGAAAAGCATAAGATTATCTCAGTCTGTATTTTTCTATATTGTTTATGGCTTTGTCTACACTCTAATGACTTTCAGTTGTAGACTTAGGATTCCTCTAAGAGTTTTTAAATAACTATTTTATTGGGAACCAGCAGTTAGCATAATGGATATGTCGCTGGACTCCCATGTAGTCGACTGCGATTCGCGTCCTGGACCCGGTGGCTTAAAACTCACGCCGGGTGCGTGTGCGTGCGTGCCCAAGATCCCGAGAGGAGAATGGAGGAGAAGGCATTGTGGCGTGACCATGCCCTCTGGGGGGTGATTTCTTGCTTTCTGTCTCTATGTCTCTCTCTGTCTGTGTGGTGAGCACACATGCCCTATAGCGAAAAAAACCTCTCCAAAAAAATAATTTAATTTTATTTATATTATTATTTTATATTTGATGAGAGAGAGAGAGAGAAAGCGAGAAAGCAAGCCACCAGATCTAGGACTTGAACCATGGTTGCCAAGTGAGTGTTCCAGTGCCTCCAAAACCATGCCACCTGCTGGCCCCCAGGGTTCCTTCAATCTTGACAGTCCCAACACTTACAAATTTTTAATAACTGTGGCTAAATAATAACTAAATCTCTTAAAATAATGCTTTTAATGAAATGATCTGATGAGGCATTTAAGTTTATTTATTCAACATTTACTCATTTAATATTAAATAAACATTTATTTGTATTAGGTACTATATTCAATGCATCAGGTAATCTAACACAGCTGTGATAGTTTTCTCACTGAATTATTATTATTATTATTTTATTTAACTTTATTTTATTTTTTAAGCCTTCCAACAGTATATTAGAAAGAATGTAGACATTTAAAAAAATACCCACTGCCATGAACATAAATTGAGGTTTTTCAGCCCTAGTATAAGCTGAATCAAAAAAAAAAAAAATCCAATAGTGTATTTTTTTTACTCATTTGTCATACTGACAGTGCAAATACAAATCTGGTCTAAATGTACAGACTCTCGGGCAACAATGTGCAGCTTTCTTTCTCCTCCATGCTAAGAGGTGTAAAAGCTTAAGGGCCAAACAATACCAAACGTATAGGCTTCAAAAACCGTCTAGGTAGGGCATTCACTAGTTTTAGCTAAGCTACATCTGGGAACACTGACAAGTGATCACTTACATACAATAATGTGAAGTAAATTTTTTGAAAAATGCACTTTAGTGGAACAATCCTTAAAGATACACCAGAGAAACAGGTGGTTACCAGTTTCAGGTATCAGCCAATTTTTGTTTCAGCCTCTTTGAATCCATGTTCTAAAATCTAAAATTTAGTTATCTTTCCCCTAAGCTGAGAGCTTCCTATCATGTCAGTATCTATGTTATGAAGTAACGGAGACTTAGGTGAAATGTTTTTATTTATCACAACTGCTTTATCAATTGCCTAGGGCCTCAACAGCTTCATGAAGTCTGGGAAATGTTTATGCATAAGGTTATTGCCTTAGCTGACTTCGAACTGCCCCATACAATGGTACTTACCACCCCTTAGTGAAGACTTTTAAAAAACAAACAGGTTGAAAATGAGTTAAAGGAGGCAAATACAGCATCAGCCTTTAGAGCTATCAACTCAAGAATTTTCTTAATTATGAAATCTTGCAGAGAAGTTATTTTTCTTTCTCAAAATCCAGGTGATGACAACATTCTTTACTCCAGATCTGACATTTTTTTCATCATCTCTGTCTTGTGACTCATCATCTGCTCCATCTACTTCTGGTAAATCTATATCCTCATCACCTCCCATGTTGTTCAACATCTCGAAGAAACGATCAGAATTAGACATGTCTACATCTGAAATGTCTTCCCAGTCTTTCCACACCAAGCCAATTAAGCTCCGCCTTTTCTTTTGTTAACCTTGGCCATGACTGTCCAGATTCTCCTTTCGGTAAACAACATAAAATTGATCTATCTGTTCTTTTATGTTTAGAATCACTTGCATAAATACAGTGGAAAAGATCAATTTCATTTAAATGTTTAAAATGATCACTTCCTCCAAGACAACTGAATGTAAGTTTGGATTTTTCAAAATTTACATCAACATCTTTACTGTCTTCAACACAAAATTCAATGAAGACACAGTCCCTTTTGACCATATCACTTTGCAGAAACAGGCTGTATTGTGAATGGGGTAGGGGGACCGGCGAATGGGTGGGCGGGCCTCTCTGGTAGTGGCTGCTGGGCAGTCAACTCTGGTGGCGACTCTGGCGTTTTGTGGCAGGATCACAGCCTCTGCTTGCTCCCTTCAGGTGATGGTGGCAGCAGTGAGCTCCGCCTGGGTCCCCACAATGCACTGAGCAGAGAGAGCGGCTCCTCCGGTCAGAGAGAAGAAGAAAGTGCAATTTATTTATTTTAATTTGATGAGAGAGAGAGAGAGAGAGAGAGAGAGCAAGCCACCACGTCCAGGACTCGAACCGCAGTCTGCCATGTGGGAGTCCAGCACCCTTAAGCACCATACCACCTGCCGGCCCCCTCACTGAATTATTACTGCATAGATTAGGAAGCCATAAATCAGATGACTACATAGGCAGAGACTACAACTGGGATAAATGATAGTGTTTCAGTATGTTGAATGAAACATTTCATATTGCACAAGAATAAGTAATCAAGTCTTCAACCAAAACCAAGCGAGACTGAGTATTCCCTAATTTAGAAAGGGTTACTAAAAGCTGGGAGTAGACTGAGAGTATTCTGAGGTGGAAAAAAATCTTGCCTTTATCCCATCAGCCACTACACTGACTCCATGGCTTGTTTCATAGAAAGTATGGGAAGGAGCGAGACATAAAAATGAATCATAGGGACGTCTGCCTTGTGAGAACGAAATACTTCTAGTAAGAAGCAATTTCTAACAATCCATGAACTCCTCCTCTTCCTGCCCTCCTCCCCCCACCCCCCATGCCATAAGTAAATGTAGAAAGATTCCAGAATTACCTCCAGAGGTTAGAGAAAACAGTAAGAATGGTGATGGAATTCCAGATTCCTTGGTTGGACATTGCCTATGTAGTGAACATGCTAATATGCCATAAACGTAACCGAGCAAAGCAAAAGAATTGAAAACGATCAGCCATGTAGCAGTCTGCATTGGAACGAATGGCTACCACAATGATGCTTGAGTTTCTTTTGGTGTCAGACTGGGCCCACAGGAGGAGGATAGTGCTTGAAGTATCTTATGAGAACTCCAGTCTAAAGGTCTGTCCCTCAGGTCTGGGTACACTGCAAGTAAGAAGCTATCGGCTTTGTTTACTTAAAAGGCTTGTCATGACAATTAAAGGATATGATGTTTAGAAAACACTTAATAGAATTTCTAGCATATAAGATTAGTGGATGCTCAAGACATACTGACCACTATTATTAATAATCTGGTTCTAACTTACTGTTTCGTGTATCTTCCACTACTCTACCTACCCACCCCAGTTCCCAACCACTGAAGAAATTATAGCCTGCTATTCACTAACCATGACTTGTCTTTTCTAAGTGATTTGTCTAGAATACATTGCATTTTTCTCCCTTACATTCTGCATGAGTAATTCTTACTCATCCTTACTGAATCAAACTGAACATGTCTGGCCGCCCCGGGATATGCCTATTATTCTGTTTGGGGATGGAAGGCTGTGGCAAGACCCTGTCCAGGGTCCCTGTCTCTTTCTTTCTCTCTCTTTCAATAAATAAATTTAAAAATATCTTACTCGTCCAATGAATATGGGCTCAAATATTTCTGTGGCATCTTCTCTGGGCTGAATTAGCATATCCTTCTTTGAGCAGTATTTTTCTTATTCTTCTATCTTAACACTTAAAACACTAAGATCTTTCAGGTCAAGAGCTAGATTTTGTATTTTTGTAAGATACCTGGCTAATACCAAACCATATACTACACTGTGGTGTTTAAAAGAAAACCACTGGGGATCAGCAGATGGCATAATTTTTACGTCACTGAACTCCCACATGGCTAACTATGGTTCAAGTCCTAGACTCAGTGGCTTAAAACTCATGCCGGGCACATGTGTGTGCATGCTCAACATCCTGAGACGAGAAAGGTTTGTAGCGTGGCCATCCCCCAGGGGGGTGATTTCTCACTTTCTGTCTCTCTGTCTCTCTCTGTCTCTCTGGTCAGCACACGTGCCCTATAGCAAAAATGTCTCTCTCTCTCAAAAAAATAGAAGACTACTGAATACCATCTGCCTGTGTGTGTGGGGGGGGGATGGGGAGTGTAATACACCTAACTCATAGACTTGTTTGGAAAAAATGGAATAATTAATATATAATGTCTAACAACATGACTTAAATGTTGTAAATACAGTGTCTATGTGTTAGTGCTATTGTTTTATTAGGATTCTCTTTTACATTTCAAGATAGTTTCTGTTCTTATTTTCTGCTGTTCTTATTTTCTGTGTCATTCTAGGATTTGTTCTACCATTTTTTTTAAAGTAACTGTTTCTTTTTCCAGGAGTGAGAGAGAAGGAAACAGAGCACAACCCCAGCAGAGTCCTTCACCGTCGTTCACCCCTCGGCTTTAGCCAGCCTGAGGCCATGGGCGAGTCTGTGCCTGGTGTACTCAGAGCAGTCTCTGGACTTGAACCAGGAGTCTCTCCGTGTGGGATTGCCTCACAGAGTCTTGTGTTTTACTGCTATGCTACCAGCTAGTCCTAATTGTGAGATTGCTAGTTTTTGCAAATACGATCTACTCGCCAGAACTAATCAACTAGTTTGTTTACACATTAATGTCCCCACACAATGTTTGTTGAATGGTTTTTCTTAAACTGAGCACATTGACTGACATAACATATAAAAAAGAATAAAACATAACCTAGTTGGAGAGAGCTGCCTCTGGTGTGCAGTAATGTACATGGATGAGGCAGAACGTAAAGCAGAGGAAGCTTCTGAGAGTGAGAATACCTACTTCAAATCATAAAAGATGCTTAAGAATTAGGTTAATAGGAATGCGGGGTTTAAAATCTTTCCAAGTAAAGATAGCAATGTGAAAAATGTTCATGAGTTGAAATTTGTGCCAAGGTGTATCAAGACATGAAATTTGAGAACGTACAGAACTATGAAATGAAGAAGTATCACTATACAATAATGAACTTAGACTGTCTCCTATAAGTATTTATGGTTGTCAATAGTGTACATCATCAATATTTCTGGCTTCCTCCTTCCCAGCACACAAGAATTACATTTCTTGCCTTCTTGGAGTTCAGAGTGGCTATGTGACTTACTCTTACCAATGACATCTGAGTGGGAGTCCCAAGAGCAAGCGTGAGAGTTGCCTGGTTCTCTCCATCACTACCATATCACTTAAGATGTTCCAGATGTGAAGACTCTGCGACCCTGTGTCTGTAAGCAAGGACAATGTTCATTAGAGCCCTCGTCAACTCAGGCCAAGTTACATGAGCAAGAAGTGAGTCTCAGATGTTACACTATTGAAGCATGAATGTTACCAGAAGCATGACTAGGCTCAGCCTGACCAGCATTGATACCTTATGTGGGGTGCTGCAGTCAAAGCCATCTATAACATGTGATATGGAGTTAGTGGTTTTCTGTAGAGTAGAGGGAAAACTTATTGGATGCTGGCAATTTGGTAATCTATACTGTAATGTGTAAGATATTTGTCAAATTTATCAGCTGGAGAATTTGGAGGCAAGATAAATTGCATAAAGCATTTATATGTTTTGGTAAAGAATGCATTAATTGGTTATAGAAGCTGTGTTTTGCAAGGTACTAAAGAAAGTGGTGTCAACAGAAATAGAAGGGAATAGAGAAAGTCCTTGAAATCAGGACCTAGTAGGGTTGAAGAAGAAACTCTTCTTTCTACTTCAAAGAGCAAGAGATTGAAAAAAAGATGTTTAGAGCATTAAGACCATTTATAACTCAAGACTACTTGGGGACAGCTGGTGGCATGGTGGTTAAGGCAGCTAAATTCTACATGGCTGACTACACAGTACGAGTCCTGGACTCAGTCAATAGCTTGAGGAACATGGCAGGTGGATGTGCATGTATACTCAAAATCCTGAGAAGACAATGGAAAAGAAATTATGAAAAACAAACAAAAAGCAAACAAACAAAAAACAAAACAAAACAAAAACAAAACAAAACAAAAACAAAACAAAACAAAAACAAAACAAAACAAAAACAAAACAAAACAAAAACAAAACAAAACAAAAACAAAACAAAACAAAAACAAAACAAAACAAAAACAAAACAAAACAAAAACAAAACAAAACAAAAACAAAACAAAACAAAAACAAAACAAAACAAAAACAAAACAAAACAAAAACAAAACAAAACAAAAACAAAACAAAACAAAAACAAAACAAAACAAAAACAAAACAAAACAAAAACAAAACAAAACAAAAACAAAACAAAACAAAAACAAAACAAAACAAAAACAAAACAAAACAAAAACAAAACAAAACAAAAACAAAACAAAACAAAAACAAAACAAAACAAAAACAAAACAAAACAAAAACAAAACAAAACAAAAACAAAACAAAACAAAAACAAAACAAAACAAAAACAAAACAAAACAAAAACAAAACAAAACAAAAACAAAACAAAACAAAAACAAAACAAAACAAAAACAAAACAAAACAAAAACAAAACAAAACAAAAACAAAACAAAACAAAAACAAAACAAAACAAAAACAAAACAAAACAAAAACAAAACAAAACAAAAACAAAACAAAACAAAAACAAAACAAAACAAAAACAAAACAAAACAAAAACAAAACAAAACAAAAACAAAACAAAACAAAAACAAAACAAAACAAAAACAAAACAAAACAAAAACAAAACAAAACAAAAACAAAACAAAACAAAAACAAAACAAAACAAAAACAAAACAAAACAAAAACAAAACAAAACAAAAACAAAACAAAACAAAAACAAACAAAAAACAAAAACAAAAAACCATATTGATGATGTACACTATTGACAACTATAAATACTTACAGGAGACAGTCTAAGTTCAAAAAACCCCAGACTACTGGCAAGAGTTAAATGAAGTATATGGGTACAGTCCTATAGATAATAAAACATCTCCAAATAGATTAAGATGCCTCGGAGTAAGTTTCGAACTAACGAATAAGCTCCCAGAAAATACCTTCTGGATAAAATAAATGGCTTAGGAAAGAATGTCCCTTTTCTACAAATTTGAACTGGTTTACAAAACTTCCATTGAGTAGAGAGGAAAGGGTTCTATGGGAGTGAGAAAGAAAATTAATACACACATTGGAGGTACATGGCATAGTCTGGAATCAATATGCTTTTGAGAGCACTATGCTATTTTAAAAAGAGAGCGAGAGAGAAGAAATGAAAAGGAAAGCCAAAACACAGCCAGGTTTGAAAGATTGTGACAGTTTAAATTACATTAGAAAAATTACATTAGAAACTCATAACTGAGTATTGGCCTGAACCAAGTGAATTGCTCAGTCCTCAAGGAAAGCAGGAAAGCACATTCCATTCTTAAAAATAGGACAGACTCTCAAAATTGTTGTAGAATTACAAGACATGATATGTGAGAGGTATGTATTTATACAATGATAGTACTAATTTACCTGGGCTAAATGTTACTTCAAGGAGAAGAATCTGCAACTGATTTAGCAATTAATTACACAGATTGTTGGATCAGCAGATGGTGTAGCATTTACATCACTGGACTCTCACATGGTAGACTGTGGTTTGAGTCCTGGATGGTGTGACACTCACAATGAGTGTGTGTGTGCATGTGTGTGTGTGCCCAAGATCCCAGGAGGAGAATGGAAGAGAAGGGGTTTCAGCATGACCAAGCCCCCGGGGTGATTTCTCACTTTCCCTCTCATTGTCTCTGTCTCTTAATCTCTCTGGTGAGAGTATAAGCCTTAAGGTAAACACCTTTACAAAAAAAAAAAGAAAAAAAATTATGCATGTTATTGATGCCATAGGTCTTCAAAAATCATGTTGATTTTGACCTTGATCATTTCTATAATCTATTTTTCCACACCCATTTCCATGTACTTTCTTAATACCCTAATTACAGATCAGATAACTAGGTAAGAACTTTTTTTTTTTTTTTTTAGAGGTTTTTGCTATAGGGCACGTGCGCTCGCCAGGCAGACAGAGAGAGACATAGAGACAGAAAGTGAGAAATCACCCCCGGGGGGATGGTCACGCCACAATCCCTTCTCCTCCATTCTCCTCTCGGGGTCTTGGGCACGCACGCACACGCGCCCGGCATGAGTTCTAAGCCACTGGGTCCGGGATGTGAACTGCGGTCGACTACGTGGGAATCCAGCGACATAGTCATTACGCTAACTGCTGGTTCCTAAGGTGAGAATTTTTTTAAAGCTAAAGTCATTCTTTAAAAAAGAACTCTCAATCAAAAAGTATAAAAGAGCACCACAAACCTCAAATTTATAAACTTCTCACAAGTTAGTTCAATATTAGTAGGAATAATCCTTTTGGAAATTTTTCTCAGAATCTCACCCCTAAGGATACTTTATATTTTTGCTTGGAAGTTTTGATTTTGTGTATTTTATTCTTTCAAATATAATTTTAAAGTCTTTATGTGTTTTGAACAATATCAATTTCTAAATGATAATTTATATATACCTTTTTACCTTAAAATGCAATGTGACATGCTTAATTATAAACTAAAATGCTTGCTAGAGTAAAAGCATAATAGACTAATGATGATGAATTTGGGGGGAGTCAGATAGATAACTTTTTTGGAGCTATGTAGGAAGTAGAAGGAATGGTGTATTGAGTTTTTCTTCAGGAAAAAAGAGCTAATCAATACCTTCAATGTTTTTCTCCACTGGGATTTTAACCTTACTTCCTTTTGATAAATAAACATTTCTTTCCTTTTTTTCCATTTTTAAAATTATTTTAATTTATTTTATATATTCGATCACTATACATCACTACAGCTTGTAAGGTGAATTTACCCAACATGACTACACTTCACACCAGTCCAGCTGAAGATACCATACATGTTATCATCAACATGTAATCATCCATTTCTGTGTTCCATAAATGTCTTGCCTCTCTATTTTCCCCTTATTTGCTTCTTCTCACTCTCTCCCTTCTCTCACCTTCCTCCCACACTGACCCCAGAATCTGTGACCATTTTCCATGCATCTATATCCTCCAATCTTTCAGTTTTCGCCATAGAGTGCAGACAGTAGGTATGTATTAAGGGGAGACATACAATGTCTCTCCTTCATAGCCCACCTTGCTTAATGAAGCAGTAAATATTACATATTTGTTCACTTTCCATCAAAAGCCAGGGTCTTGTTTATATGGCTGAGTAGTATTCCACAGGGTATATGTGCCACACTTTTTCAATCTATTCATTTGTTCATGGACACTTGGTTGGTTCCATGGCTTAGCAATTGTGAATAATGCTGCAATAAACATAGATGTACAAGCACTTTTTTGACTGAATATTCTTCTATCCTTTGGGTAGATACCCAGGAGTGGACTTGCTGGATCAGATGGTAGTGCTATTTGAAGGTCTTTGAGGAACCTCCATATTGTACTCCACAGTGACCAGATTAATTTACATTCTCACCAGCCGTGTAGGAGAGCTTGTTCCCTTTTCACCACAGCCTCGCCAGCACTTACCATTTTTGGTTTTGTTTTTCAACCTTACCCATTCTGACTAGAGTTAGGTGGTATCTCATTGTGGTTTTGATCTGCATCTCCTTTATGATGAGGAATGTTGAACATTTTTTTATATGCTTTTTGACTGTTCATGTCTTCCTTAGAGAGTTGTTTGTTCAGCTCATCTTCCCATCTTTAAATTGGGTTGATCATTTCTAATTGCCAGAGGATGATGCATGCCTGTCAGAGAGTGAGAGAGAAAGCACCCTCCAATGGAGTGTGGCCATACAGCAATTTTTTTCCTTTCTATCAGAAGTCTGAGCATGCACATGCATGTACCAGTGAGATTTTCTAGCTGTTGGGGCAGGAATTTGAAAACAGTCAGCTACGAGACCTGGCTTCCAATGCACAGGTTTAATCACAGCATTATGGAACCAGATCTAATAAAGCTTAAAAGCACAAGTTAAATAATAAATAATCTGATTTAGTCTCATAATTGGGATAATAATATTCTGCTATTTGTACTATCGTTAAAAAGCAAAGTCACCAAATCTTGGTGTTTTCTCTAGTTTTAAGTTCTAAGAGTCATCTTTGGGACACAATGTGAAAAATGCTGATAGCTCTTTCTTTCCCCCTTTCTTTTTATCTTTCTCCTTTCTGTTCATGGTCAGGGATGACCTGGATAACACGCATGGGAATGATGAAAGCAAAGATAATTAATTTGTTCCGCAAAATAAACTCACAGGAATGTTTACCTTTTTTCATTGACTTGGACAATTTTTTGTTTATGTTGGCAGGGCTTTAAAAGTAAGTAAATTAAGAAATTACTTTGTAGTTACAAGTTGTGTTTTTTAAATTATTATTACTTTTTTTTTTTTTAATAAGAAAAGTGTAGGACTCAGGCCAGCAGGTGGCATGGTGATTAAGACACTGGATTCCCACATGGGTGTCTGTGGCTTGAGTTTTGGACCCAGTTGCTTGAAAATCACACCAGGCACATGAGTGTTATGTACCCAAAATCTAGAGAGAAGACTGGAGAAGGAATTGTGGTGTAGCCATCCTCCTAAGGGATGGCTTTCTCTCTCTCTGGCTCACTCTAGCGAGTATACACACCCTATGGCAAAAACATAAACAGGAAAAAAAATGGTATAGGACTTAGGGATATTCCAATGGCTTGTGTATGTGCATGCCCAAGATCCCAAGAGGTAAATGTAGGAGAAGGGACAGCAGTATGGCCATCCCTCCTGGGGGTGATTTCTCGCTTCCT